TTTGGCAATGTCTGACACGGTCAGGGGTGGGTTGGGTAATGTCTCTATCTGTAATATAGATGTGGTGGGTGCTGGGTCGTCTTCCAGGTCAGGTAGGGGGGAGCAGCTCAGTGCATCTGCGTGTGAGATGCTTTTTCCTGGTCGGTGAATTAGTTGGTAGTTGTAGGCGGCAAGGAATTCGGACCACCTTGTCATCCTTGGTGACAATATGTTTGGGGTGGCCTTGTTCCCTGCCAATATTCCTAGTAGTGGTTTATGGTCAGTGATAAGTGAAAAAGTCCTACTGTACAGGTATTCGTGGAACCGCTTCACGCCGGTGATCACTGCTAGCGCCTCCTTATCCAGCTGGCAATAATTCCTCTCTGCCCTGGACAATGTCTTGGAGAAGAATGCGATTGGCGCTTCTCTCCCGTCTGGCAGAGTGTGGCTTAGGATGGCTCCGACACCAAATGGTGAAGCGTCGCAGGTCACGGTCAGTGGTAGGGTTTCGCTGTACTGCATGAGGACTGATTCAGATGTTTTATTTTCTGGAACGTGTTTTCCTCCCGCTTGCCCCAGGACCAGGTGGCTGTCTTGTCTAACAGACTATGTAGGGGTTCCGCTGTTGTTGCCTTCTGTGGCAAAAAAACATTATAAAAGTTAATAAGTCCGAGGAAAGCTTGCAGCTCCGTTTTATTTTGAGGTCTAGGGGCTTCTTTGATGGCTTTAACTTTCTTTTCGGTGGGGTGGATTCCATTTTTGTCAATCAAATATCCTAGGAACTCTATTTTCTCTGTGCATAGTTGGCACTTTTCTTTTTTTACTTTAAGTCCTGCCTCTTTAAATTTTTGCAGGACTTCCCTGAGGCGGCTTTCTAATTGTTTCTTGTTCTTCACCGAGACTAGCACATCATCGAAATAAGGCACCACCCCTTTGATTCCTTGTAATAATCATTCCATTAGATTCTGGAATACCCCTGGGGCCATGCTGACTCTGAACTGGAGTCTTTTACAATGGAATGCCCCCCTGTGGGTCACAATAGTCTGTGCCTCGGCTGTCTCAGCGTTGACTGGCAGCTGCTGGTATGCCTGTGCCAGGTCGAGCTTTGCAAATACTTTTCCTCCCCCCAGCGAGTGTAGGAGGTGCTGTACCACTGGGACGGGGTACGCACTCTGCTGCAATGCGTGGTTGAGGGTGGCCTTGTAGTCACCGCAGATTCTCATGGACCCATCTGGCTTTATGGGGGTGACTATTGGGGTTTCCAACCATGTGTGGTCTATCTGTTCCAGGACCCCTTGTGTGATGAGCTTGTCTAGTTGCTCATCAATTTTGGGTTTGAGTGCAAAGGGCACTCATCGTGGCTTAAGGCGGATCAGGGCAATATTTGGGTTCAGATTAAATGAGATTGGGGACCCACGGTACTTGCCTAATTCACCGTTGAAATCCGCTGGAAATCCTTCATGAGGTTCTCCTCCCAGTCTGTTTCACCGACGTGGTTGATACCAGTCACCTCGATCCCCAATGGCGCGAACCATTCCAGCCCCAGCAGGCTTGGGCGGTCTTTATCCACGATGGTCAGCGGAAGTACCTCGGCATGTCCCTTGAAGACTACGTAAAAATGTCTGATTCCGACCACGGGGATCCGGTTCCCCTGGTAATCTTTTAGGGTCAGTCTCTGGCTTTCCAAATCCCGTCTGCGAATGCCAGGTACCAGACGCTTAATTGTATTCCAGGATACCATAGGGAGGTAGGAACCGGAATCCACCTCCATGTTGCACGGCTGGCCTTCAATGTTGACCTGCATGTGCACTTTTCGGGCATCGGTTGTGTTCGAGTGCCCGATGGTGACCGTCTGGTGGGTCTCTTCCTTTCGACAGTTTTTGCTGAGCCACTTGTTTCTGCCTTCATGGCTCCACTGCCTCTCTGCGTGCCTGTCCCGGGTTCTGGGGGGGTGCTGTCGCGTCACCTCGGGCTGTAGCTTCTCTTATTCCGGCAAACCTTGGCAATGTGTCCCCGTTTTTCACAGTGCCGGCAAATGGTGTCTAGGAACCAGCACTCTGAATGGGGATGGTCTCCTCCGCACCCAGCACACTGAAACCCCGACTTACGACCTCTCCGCTCCCGTTGGTCTCGTTCCAATTGTAGTCTGTGGATTTCCTCCTCATCCTCGGTCTCGGAGAAGGAGTCGACGTCCCCGTGGTGCGTGGTCGTGGCTTTTTGGCTTGCTTCTGGTCTTTTGTCCGGGGCTGGTGTGGCTTCTGTGGGTGACTGCTGGTCTATCGTGTTCATTTGCCACATTCTGGCTGCTGACTGCTTCGCTGGCACGGCTGCGGTGGCTTCGGCAATGGCTTCGGTGACTGAGATATCCATTCAAGCCATCAGCCGGCTCTGGAGTATGGGGTCCCTCAATCCGAGAACCACGCAGTCTCTCAGAGCCTCATCCATGTTGGAAAAGCTGCACACACACCCGAGGTTCCTTAGGGCTGCCACGAAGTCGCCAATGCTTTCGCCTTCCTTCTGGTCCCTTCTATAAAATTCATGCCTCCGGATGAGGTTGGGAATGGCTGGTGCGTAATGGTTTCGCAGTAGCCGGTCCAGATCTGTCCATGCCATCTCCTTCACATCTTGGGGTTTGGCCAGTGCTTTGGCCATCTTGAACACTGCGGGCCCGCAGTGTGTCAGGAACACGGCCCTCTTCCTCTGGTCGTTTGCGTCCTTCAGGTTGTTGCTCTCGAGGAACATGAGGAATCGATCGATATACGATTCCCAGTCCTCTGCCGCCTGATCGAATGGTGCGGGTGGCGAGTTGCTGCCGGCCATCTCGTCGGTTGTTCAGCTCTGGTTGCCATGTGCTCGACTGGTCTCTTTGTCTCAGGATCCCACCTTCGTCGCCAGTGTTAGATCGCGGGAAGGAGACTCAAGACCAGTGTGACTTTTCAGCTCTTTATTTAATGTATAGATCAGTACAAGATCTTGGAGCGCGACAGCCCTTCATATAGGGATTGCTCGCGGCTTGCCAGCCAATGACGGCTCTTTGAAGCTCCCGCAATCAGTCTGGCCAATCGCGGTTGATTCATAGCGAGCCAACCACGGTAGTTTATTCAACCAATCATCTTGCAGTATGTGTGGACCAATCAGATATGAGTATTTGGAATATGCTAATATAGAACACTGACAATAGAATAATAGAGTTGGAAGGGACCTTGTAGCAGATGCTGTCCAGTCTCTTCTTGAAAGCTTCTAGTGATGAAGTGATGCCCACAACTTCTGTAGGCAAACTGTTCCATTGGTTAATTGATCTCACTGTTAGAAAATTTCTCATTTCTAAGTTGAATCTCTTCTTGATCACTTTCTAACCATTACTCCTTGTCTGACCTTCAGGTGCTTTGGAAAATAGATTGACCCACTCTTCTGTGACAGCCCTTCAAATATTGGAATACTTCTATCATGTCACACACACACACACACACACACACACACACACACACACACACACACACTGGTCCATCTCTTCACTAGCCATGCTCAATTCCTCCAACCTTTCTTTATGTGTTTTTTAGCCTCCAGTCTCCTAATCATCTTTGTTGCTCTTCTGTGTACTCGTTCTAGAGTCTCAACCATCTTTTTATAGTGTAGTGACCAAAACTGAATGCAGTATTCTAGGTGTGGTCTTACTAAGGCTTTATAGAAATCTAAACTTGATCATGTGTGCTTATGCTTCCTGCCACCTTCCCATGAGCAAAGTCAGTGGGGAATCCAGCAGAAAGTTCCAAATCAAAAGGGTCAGTAGGCAGGTAAGTGGCTGCTACCAAGAGACAGAATATTTGTAAATCAGAAATCATTCTCATTTCCACTGCTTTCTTGCCTGCCTTCTTGCCTGCTGACCTGCTTGGATAAGGAAAGGTCTCTAAAATGATGACACAATGGAAATGATGACCCAAAGACTCATGGGTTGTCTAATCATAAGTGTGGACTACAGATTCCTATATAAATATCAAGGAAATGTGTGCAAGTTAAAAAAATTGTCAAAGAATTTAGATAATAACTGAATATAGTTGAGATGTTGTATTCAAAATGTCCACATGATAGGAAAAGCTACATGGTTAAAAAAACTGGGGTAGAAACAATGATCCAGATTTCTATTGGGGTATGCATCCATATTAGAAAAAGCAAACTCTTGATCCAGATTAATAAAATGTTGAAATCTGCCCTTGTTTTAGCCATCTCAATAGGTTTGCTTCTGCTCTGATCAAAGCGGAGGATCATATTGTATCGATTTCTGAGCCACCATTTTTCTTTTTAGATGATTTTTTTTCAACTTCATATATTTCCTTGTTACAAACCCACTTTAAAAAAAAAACCAGAATCCCCCTTTTAAAAGTAAGATTGGATCTATTAAAGAAAAAAAAAGAAACTGCAAAGTTGCATTTTAAGATGACAGTTTTCTCTCTATAGTTGATTGCAAAATTTCTATGCCATCTGCAGGAAGCCACACCGGCAAATGTGTCATCAAATCTAATAATGAAAAGAAGAAACAGACAGAACGTGCTGTAGAAACAGACTGGTCTAATTACTCCTTTATATTCCATAGTTTTCTGAAAATACTCAAGCAAAGAACAGTTAGATGAAGCTCATCTTCAAAATCTTAATTCATAAAAATAAAAAGTTGGGAAAGTTTTGCCCAGTTTTAAACCAGGGGATTAATCTCATCCTGCAAAGCTTTCAGAATATATAAGGAATTTCAATTAACTTCTAACATTTTAAAATGAAGTACTATGTAATTTAGGACAAATTGACATCAAAATGCTTAATCATTTTGAATGTCATGGACAATATGAGGTGGGTTTTATCCGGAGTAGGTTGTTTGTGCTGCTATATGAAGAAAGCAAGGGACTTGGCTTTGGAATGCAATACTTTATTCTGGGCCAGTTATTTTTCTTCTGCCCAATCTTCTTCATAGGTTTGTTCTTGAAAATAAGATTTCACAAGAGGTTTATTCTTTTGATTGTTTGTCTTCCTAGAGCAGTGCATCTCAACCTCAGCAACTTTAAGAAGTATGGACTTCCTCAGATAACCATTCTGGAAACTGAATTCCATGTATCATAAGGTTCTGCCTTAAGAGAAAAGGTAAATATAATTAAAATAATAAAATATTTCATAACATTCTGCTTTATTTGGGGAATTTAGATAGGCTGAACTAATTGATGTGAAATGAGCCAACATCAATTAAGAAATGATGTTTAATGAAGAAGTGGGAAACTTTAAAAACTTTTTTAAAAATCTGGATCATCTGTTGAAGGTTGAGCTAAATAATGGATGTCTGTCTTTTTATTTCTTTCACTCCTATTCCTAGGAATCTCAGTTAATATCTAATAGAATGATGTATGAAATTAAAGAAAAACTGCAGCTGTTATTCTCCCCCATTGTCTGGGTCTACCTAGATGCTTATGAAAACAATTTGGCTTCAAAATACAATTACTGTTATTAAAAGTATGATTTGTGTTGTCTGAAGCAAATAAATTATGAATAATACACAAGTAAGTACAAATAAGAATGCCTAAAGATGAATGGAACAGTCTCCATTTATTTTAACTTTGCAATCAATTGCTCTGCAAAAAGATATAGAAAATTCTTAAACATGTGTTGATTTAATTTATATAACATCATCTGTTTGTAAAACAGACTTGGTAACATGAACAATGGGGAGTACCTGGGAAGTACCCAGGAAGATACTGGAAAAGATAATAAAAAAACAGATCTGCCAACATCTAGAAACAAGTAAAGTAATAACTAGCCATCAGCACAGCTTTGTTAAGAACAGATCATGCCAAACCAATCTTATTTCATTCTTCTACACAGTGACTAAATTAGTAGACCAGCAAAACAATGTGGACATAATATATTTAGATTTCAGCAAGACATTCGACAAAGTAGACCACAACCTACTTCTTAGTAAGCTAGAAAAAGGTGGAATAGATAGCACCACCACTAGATGGACTTGCAACTGGCTGGCAAACTATACTCAATGAGTAGTCCTTAATGGGTCTAAGTCTTCCTGGAGGGAAGTAAGCAGTGGGGTGCCACAAGTGTTAGATCTGAGGTGGATCGGGTCGAAGGAGACGCGAGACCATTCTAGTGAGTTCAGCTCTTTATTTAGCATAGGAACAGTCTGAAGAATACAAGCCGCAGCAGCCCTTCATATAGGGCTGGCTCGCGGCTCGGAGGCCAATGGCAGCGCTTTGAATCTCCCGCGATCGGCACAGCCAATCGTGGTAGATTCTTAGCGCTCCAATCACGGCCGGGGCTTCGACCAATCAGGTCGCTGTCCGTCTGGACCAATCAGTTTGCGAGGATTTGGAGTATGCTAATACAGCACAACAAGGTTCCGTCTTAGGACCAGTACTCTTCAATATCTTCATATCGAGATGGATCTTGACAGACTAGAACACTGGGCCGTATCTAACAAAATGAAATTCAATGTAGAGAAAAGTAAAGTCCTACATTTAGGCAAGAAAAACCAAAAGTACACATATAGACTGGGTGAAACCAGGCTCAACAGCAGTAACTGTGAGAGGGATCTTGGAGTCTTAGTGGACAACCAGCTAAATATGAGCCAGCAGTGTGCAGCAGCAGCCAAAAAAGCTAATGCAATCCTAAGTTGCATTAACAGAGGGATACAATCAAGATCAAGGGAAGTAATAATACCACTCTATAAAGTCTTAGTAAGACCACACCTAGAGTACTGCATCCAGTTTTGTTCACCAGGTTATAAAAAAGATGTTGAGACTCTAGAAAAAGTACAGAGAAGAGCAACCAGGATGATTAGGGGACTGGAGGCTAAAACATACAACAAACGGCTGCAGAAACTGGGCTTGCCTAGTCTAGTAAGGAGAAGGACCAGGGGAGACATGATAGTGGTCTTCCAATATTTGAGGGGCTGCCACAGGGAGGAAGGGGTCAAGCTATTTTCTAAAGTGCCTGTAGGCCAGACAAGGAATAATGGATGAAAATAACCTGGAAATAAAGAAGAAACTTTCTGACAGTAGAACAATCAACCAATGGAACAGCTTGCCCTCGGAAGTTGTGGGAGCGCCATCACTTGAGACTTTCAAGAAGAGATTGGACTGCCATTTGTCAGAAATGGTATAGGGTCTTCTGCTTGGGCGGGGGGTTGGACTAGATGACCTACAAGGTCCTTTCCAACTCTGATTATCTGTTATCTAATCTGGTAATAATGTCTGCATGAAAACAATAAAACACAGAAAATATCAAACACTTAAATTTAACCTTAAAGAAGATTCCCCCCCCCTCCCAATATTTAGAACAAGATCTCAATCATCCATTCAGAAACCAAATATGCCTATTGGCCTCAAGAAAGTGGTACACCCGTCTTTATAAAGTATCCTCTGTAATTTGGACTATTCTTACTTTCTACTTCCTTTATTTTACTAAAAGAAAACTTTCAATAGATCGTAAACCAGGACCAAAAGGGCAAAAATACAGTAACCTACGTACTGCAGCCTTCCCCAATGAAATGTTTGCTGTATGTGTTGGATTTTAATCTCAACAACAGCTGCTAGTGCATCTGGACACCAACAGATTAGGGAAAGACGGTACTATCCATACCATTTCCTATCCTCTAAGCTTGTTTGAAGAAGAGCCCAGGATTTGGTTCTTGGTTAAATTGAGATCACCCTCTCCCGCTGGTTTGCCAGTTTGATTTCTCCCACACTTGTCTTTTGTGCACTAGATAATGGTTGTGCCAAGAACAAATGAAGGGGATGGTCATATTAAACTAAAATTAAATCTAAAAAAAAGTGCAGTTGGGTCAATGTGGCATGTGTATTTCCCTTGCCTCTTTTACCTCTGTTCATTTGTTCTGTTACCAGTTTGGACACAGAGGATACAAGACACAAGAATTTTAAAGGAATTCCCACAGTCCAGAAATGTTCAACTACGTTGATTCACGAAAAGACTTATACTGCATTTGTCCTTGATTTGTTGTCCTTTGGTGCACATTCATCATTTCTTATATAAAAACAAAATTATTAACTGTGCATGAAGTTTATTCCTGTTACTGTCATTTAAAAGTTCATAAAGGTATGCTGCTCTAACATCTCTTCTTAGAACAACATCAAAATAACTCGAAAGGGAGGTCGAAAATAGCAATTGCAATAGCACTTAGACTTATATGCCACTTCACAGTGCTTTAGAGAGTCAGCATATTGCCCCCAACAATCCGGGTCCTCAGTTTGACTGCAAACAACCATACATGTTTGCAGTCAAACTGAAAACAAGTGACAGTTAAGCTTGTGTTGTAATTGTTACTTACTAATAGGTAGCACTAGGCAACTAGTTTATTTTTATAGAAACTAAACAAGTATAGGTAGTTTCTATATGTTCAAATCCCTTTAGCAGTATTTGAACTAGGTAATTGTATGTATATTTGCATTAACCTTTAACGTTATCTTAGCTTCATTGTCACAGATGCTACTTTGAATCTCATTCCTTGTACATTATCTAAGTAGACAACTTACTTTTCTTTCCCCTTAAGGTGGTTTACATAGATTTTACAGATGTAGGTTCTCTGAATTGGCTCTGTAACTCACAACTTTAAACCCCAATTCTGAAATTATTCTAAAGTAAAAGATTATTAATTTTAAATGCAACTTCCCAACTCTATATTGTTATTCAAGAGGCTAATTAAAAGTTATATAATTGTGTTCTAATTCCTTGAAAATCTGACTATTGTTTTAAAGTTGTACCTCTGTCTTCCTGAGTAACCCTTTTGAAATATTTCAGTTTTCACTGCTTCATACATTTGTTGTGATAATGAAAAAAATATAACCAACTATAATTTAGCGACCTTATTGTGTGAGGATGGAAAATATGGGACAAGAATAATTTCACTACTAACTGCTTCAGTAAATTGATAGGTTGCCATTAATTTTAAGTAATGTGTTTATTTAACTTTCATTTAACTTTTTAAGATCTTTATCTAGAGCTTTCTTTCTTTTTTCTTTTTCATTTCCAGGCTTTTTGAAAGAAGAAATGTATCCCAGAAGAAATAGCTTAATTCTGGTAAAATAAAATGAGAATGTGTTATATATTTTGGCATCATAGAAAAAATATTTAGAAAATATATAATAAAAATACTTTAAATGGCTACTTGCAAGATTGCAAGCCAATCTTTAGTTGCTGATCAAGCTTGTTCAAGTTATAACTTTTGTAACAAGGAATTATTCTCTTGAATAAGTACTTTCATTCCAATTTCTATATCTGCATTTTCTAAAATTACAAAAGAAGTTTTAGTTAATTGTTAAAAGGGGAATTTTTTTGGCTTATCGTTAACAAGACTGGAAACATTGTCTGTGTCTTAATATTCTTCCTCACTAGAAAACTTACAAACTTCATAACAATTTTTGAATCAATATAAAACCTATACTCATTATTGCTTTATTAGCAAAAAAAAAAAAAAAAAGATAGAATAAATTGATTGAAAATACAACAGTCATTTACAGATCTACAGTAGAACTCATGGGATTCAGGTGGGTATAGTAGCCAAAGGAAAATTCTGTTATGGCCCTATTCCATGAGTTCATTGGTTGATCATATACATCAGTATCTCATGCAGTATTTAGGGTTTTTTAAAAATTGCCCTTAAGTCTTTCTAATTTATTCCTTTCCAGAATCCCAAATATCCAGAGGTTCAAAGGTAATAAAACCTATTCATTTTCAAAATTGGAAAATTGAGGCATGATTGTTTTGTGGATATCATCATGTTTACTTAGAGCCTGATAATAGGTCTGTTTCTCCAAGGATATAATGAAGACGTGTTTTATTCTTATTCATAAAGTCCAGGAAATATTCTATAGTGTGAAAAACAATTTTTAGTACATTTAATGAATGAATCATGAAACATACACTTTTGTATTCCAAATATGATGCCATCAGATTCTAACAATACTTATAAGGAATAATCTCTAATTAAAATCTAACACATCTTTCATTAAATCATGATTGTGCTAGCTAATCCAATTAATTATCTCAGTCCTTAATCATTTTTGTCCTATAGGAAGTGAAGAAGTCTTTTTAAAAATTATTGAATATGATCATCAATAGGGCCATTCATTCCATACAATAACCCCATGTATTCAAACATCCTAAAGTTAAACTATGATTAGTATTCATCAGGGTTTAATGAATAGATTATAGAGACCTTATTAAAGTGTGACATTCAAACATATAGCATGGTTATAAACAATATATTCACATATAACGTTATGCAAAACCAGTATGTCCACACTGCCAATTTTCAAAGATGAAGTATGAAAATGACAAATGTGCATTTGAAAAATACAAATATCACTCAAGCATATCAATGAAAATTATATCATTGGGCTGCTTAATATGTATATTCAATGACAATACAAGTCTTGTTTCTAAATTATAATCATAATTCTAACTTAATAGTGCCCAGTTTAGTTTCCATGCCAATCAAATAGGATTCCAAATATTGCTG